ACTACTATCAAGTTAGATAGCCAGTCGGGATGCTTTACCTCCCGGATTGAACCGATATCGATCAATCGAGTTACCTCTTCTTTAACAAACCTATTTCTGACCTAGGCAATTGGGTGCTTCTTTTGCCTTACTGGCGGGATGCTTAGGATTCTTTAACAAACTTGTTCGAGTTCTTCCGCCGTGGACTTGGTCGGCATCAGTTTCTTCCGGTACCTGGAAATACCTTGGTACATGGTGGAATTCCGACGACTCCTCCCCTTTGTCGTCTTCATTTGGTTCGAAGTAGGCGTCGGTTCCTGTAATTGCTATACCGCGTGTTCCTTCCCTTTATTGCTGGAAACCAAGATTATGTTCATCTCCCTTGCCGCTGGTTGATCTCCTCTTATTTGTTTGACTCCATTTGGAGTTGGAAATTTTAGAAGTTGGTCATATGTTGATGGTACAACTTTCATTTTGTGTAGCCATGGTCTACCAAGAATTATGTTGTAGCCCATGTCTCCGTCTACTACTTCAAATAAGGCAGTCTTCATGACCCCTTCGGCATTTGTGGGTAGCAAGATCTTCGCTCGGGTTGTCACACTTGCTAAGTTGAACCCAACGAGGAGTTTTGTTTCTGGAATGATGCTTCCGGTTAGCTTGGCTTGCTCCAGCACTCTCCATTAAAATCTAGAACATTAAGAAATTACCAGGGCATCATTGTGATGTAGTAGAAGTCCATCGACGCCCCTTTCTGTGAAGGTGTTGTCATCCTCGACGACCTCCCGGAGTCTTTTCCTATGAGCCATCGATACTTTTGTCTTTTTTGTTGCCGAGAAAGTTACACTATTGATCTCATTTCCCCCGAAAATCATATTGATGATTAGTTGGGAAGGGTCTTCACCTATCTTCGAGGGCTCTGTATTGTCCCGGCTGCAACAGTAATTGTTCTTAGCCCAGTCGCTTAAGAACTCTCTGAGATGGTCGTTTTTCAACAACGTTGCCACCTCCTCGCGCAGATATTGATAGTCCCCAGTCCGATGGCCGTTAGTCCCATGATACTCGCACCATAAATTAGGGTCCCTCTGGATGGGATTAGATCTCATCGACCTTGGGAACCGCGTTTCCTTGATATTCCTCATCAGCGATACCAGCTCCACTATGCTGACACTAAAATTGTACTCGGGCAGCCTGGGATAGGTGGAATCCTAGGAACCCGATACCTCTTTGTCTTGTAATGACATGTTATTCTGGCCACAGTCAGTTCTTTTATCGGGAGCGAACCTATTTGCACCTCCTTTCGTAGGGCAAAAATCGATCCTTGGAAGATCGCCGATCTGCATCAAAATCATCCTTCGATTTATCCTTGTTCTTTTCTCGATCCGATCCTTAGTTGATGCGGGGAGCCCGATCTGATCATCTTCTATTCTTATCATTGATTTGTAACGATTATGGACATCTACCCATATAGTTGCCTGGAACTCGAGCAGGCATTCTTTCAGTTTCCGGGAGGCATCGGAGCTCCTCGGGTTCAACCTTTATTAAAAGCCTCAGCTGCCCATTCATTTGGCACGGCCGGTTACAACATCCTTTCTTTCTGAAACTTGGTCACGAACTCACGCAGCAACTGGACTCTCCTTGCGAAATTCTAAATATGTCCACCTTCTAGGCCTGGACTTTCCTAGCCCCGGCATGGGCCTTGATGAAAGAATTCATGAGCATCTCAAAGGAATCTGTTGAGTGTTCGGGTATGAGTGAGTATCATGTCAGGGCCCTCTTCGTGAGGGTTTCTTCGAACTTATTCAGCAGGACTGACTCAATCTCGTGCGGAGCTAAGTCATTTCCTTTCACCGCCGTTGTATAGGTGGTGATGTGCTCCTAAGGGTCCTAAGTCCCATCATATTTTGGTACATCTGGCATTTTGAACGACTCCAGAATTAACTCTGGTGATGCGCTCGCTTTGAACAACAATTGGGTGTATTTCTTTGAGTCCGGACCCTTTAGCACTGGTGGTGTGCCCGGAATTTGATCCATTCGAGCATTTATTTCCCTCATAAACCGCATGAGCTCAGCTTTGAAGATATCATTATTGTTGTTATTACCAGATTTGCTGTCGATCCCCCCGGCCCCGTCGAAGCCGACCTCACCCCTCGGGGTGTTGTTATCAACACTTTGTGTTGTTTGATTTGTGAGGGCACCAGGAGGAACTGACCTCTTCCATTCGCGTTATTGGAAGCGCCCGACAACGCTTGCCTCAGTTTTGTCATGTCCTGGTCTTGCCATGAGATATGGCCCATGATGATCTTTTGTTGTTCTCTCAAGATCCTCACCGTTTTCACAACGTGCTCATCTTCAGTATCATCAGGAGTTGCCTCCCGTACGTGTCGGCGATATCGCCCTCCACGAACTGGCATTGCTACGCCCTCCTCGTTGCAGGTATTGCTGATCGAATCCTCGTGTTGAGGCAGATTCTCTTGGTCTCAACGTTGTGTGCGATGTTGACATCGTTAGCTACCATCTTTTACGATTTTCGCTAATAAACAAAGAATCAAACAGATTAGTAATAGATGAAAGAACCAACTTAATTACACAACTGTCTAAGCCCCACGGTGGGCGCCAAACTGTTTACCCGCAAACCGGTGCAGTTAAATTTATACCGTGATTTATAGACAAATGAATCAATTTGATCCAAAATGATAAAGAAATTAAATAAAATGCAAGACTTAGCGTTGAAATCGAGATAAAATAGCAGACAACTTGGTTCCGGGAGCAAGGCTTCCGAAGGCAGCAAACAGAATAACGTTAGACAGAAAATAAAGTATTATTCAGCTTGGGATAATGTATAGCATAAGTTTGTCAGAATTTTTCGTATCTTACAATTGTTGTTGAAGTCACTGTTTATAGCTATACATAGGGAACAAGGTCCTAGGATAAAGCCCCTCTTAAATGACAATAATGGGGGCCATTGATGAATATGTAACGGCAAGTCATGAATGCCAAAATTCTCTGTAACGGATGCGCATTTAATACTGAGGAATATTCTACATTGAATGTCATCTGGTGACAAACATTTGTTTGCTCTCGTTGATAATGTTCCCTTCGGGGTCTATCCGATGCCAACAGAAGTTGTTATCCTCGGTCTTGGTTTCCACTCGCTTCATCTTCTGTCGTCCGCTCCCCCCCCCCCTCCGGTTCCACATGTCTTTCTATTATTCGAGCATTTAATGTGAACTGATTTTACCCTATATAGTTATCCCAGGGTTAAATACCAAAACAATACATTTGCTCTTCTTTAAAACTGTTCTTCCAAAGTCAAAGCCAAGATTATAATTGAAAATAAAAGTTTGTCCTACCTTATCTAATTTAAACTAAAGACTTCATCTAGTTTAAATTAATGAACCAAATATCTATCAATAAAAGTATATTCATTAAATAATTTTATTATTATTAATCTTAGTATTATAATTCTACAATTATTAATCTCAAAATAACTTGTTTAATAACCAAATGACTCCTAAGAATATAATTTACAAAGGAAATTAATCACATATACAATCAAAAACCTAATCCATAAACTAACATGAATAAGGTTTTATACCAACCAATCTTCAAATTTATAGGCACAAATTAAAGAATTGGTGCACAGCTATCCGTGATTGGAAAAGGGTACAAAGAGGTAGTAGCCGACCAGTGTGCTAATCGAGGGAAAGGGGTTTATTTGTGTAAAAAGAAAAAGATGGTGGTGGTGGGAGGGGGGGAGCAACTACGTAATAAGATAATATATCTCGAATTAAATTGCTATGCAACCAAATGGAGACAACTATACTAAGCATATTAATCAACTGGTAGGCCAATTGGGGAAAGGGGACTATTATTATATGAAAAAAAAATTGCAATAATTAGTAAGACAGAAACGGCAAAGGTGGCCCATGTTCTTCTTATCATTGATAATTCTTTTCTTTTATGATGTTTCGCTTGTTTCTTATTATGACGGCTATATTATTTTTAAATCTATTGATAAATAGCATAATCTGCTTTGATTATAGTCTCGAGAAGGTAGTAGTCACCAATGGGCGTGTGATTGTTCTCGATCCTCCTAAACTTGGAACGAAAATTGATTTCTTACATTTTAATATTTTTTTTGTATTATAATTAATCAATAATTTTTATCCACACACACATTATAATTCACCAATTTACCGATAAAACTAAAATCTCAATCTATTAAAAAGACAAATCATTTAGATAACATAATAATTGCTGTGTGACCAGGAGATGCTGAAGACTTTAGGTATTGCATTTTATTCTCTTAAAAGAGACTGATTTTAATGTATATGAAGATCTTGGTTTGAGTCTACCTCTTATTTTATTAAAAAAGATGTTTGTATAACTTACGTTTAAGTTTAAAATGGTTAAATTTGTGGGACTCTTATTCTATGTTAGACTTTGAATTCTGTGTTCCTAACACATTCATGGTCATCTAGAAATAATTTTGAAATTTAGGAATGAAATTGAAAAGAAAAAGTCAAATTAAAAATGGAACTAAGAAAGAGTCAACCCCCCCCCCCACCGCAACCCCCCCCCCTCAAACCAACCTTCCCCTGCTCTCTTTCTGAGCCAGCAAAATTTCTTCCAAAAGACTCCAAACAAGATTAACTGTTACTCACTTTCTTCACATGCCAAAATAGTATGATGGACCGGGGGTGATGAAGGTCCGTCGGAGAAAATGCAACATGCCGGAAGAGTTCGCTCCGCCTCGTAAGAGTCTTTTCCCCATTATTTCCCCTGGTCACCACTTTTCTCTTCCTTCAGTTCCCTAAAATCTAGCAGGTCGGATATCTTATTTGGTATGATGTGATATGAGTTGAGTTTCAATGAATAAGTGAGGATTCATATAACCGATCCCGGCTTGTTTGGGACTGAGGTGCAGTTGTTCGGTTCCCTAAAGTCCAACACACAATGCAACAAAAGCCTGGTATCCATTTCTTCACGAATATTCATAGCTAAGTCTACCAAACGAGGGATTGGTCTCGCAGTGATCTTTTAGAAGCGATAATTTAGATTCAATAAAGTGGTCACCTTGCATTTACATTGAGATATGAAGTACATTTTACAGATTGTATATTCAAGAAAATGAAATACCTCCATCCTGCAACCGCGCCCTAGTCGCCCCAAATAGCTCTTGCTGATGCACCCATCAAATAGAAAAGGATCGCTTAGAACTACCATTCTCCCGAGTTCCCAATATAAGAATGGGCACATAGTTTCTGCAATTCTTCCATTGGTGCAATGCAAAAAAAATCTTTCACCTCATCGATCACTTGGTACTAAAGAATTGGTCTTATTTTTGGCGATCTAGACGGTGTCTGAGCTTTAAATTGAGGGGTTTCAAGCCACGGTTCCAGTGTGTTTCTTGTGGTGGGCCTGGCTTGAAACATTGAGTAATCATTCGCATCATATCCACTCTGTCCCCCGATACCATAAGCTGGGTGGGGAGGAGAAAGATAACAGCTCCTACGTGCAGGTTCGTACTGTCTTAATGGGCTAGAAGTGGGGGATACTGGTAAAGATGTTATGGTTTTTACAATTTCCCTGTAGATATCAAGAAAAGAACAGTGAGATATATGTGTCTTACGGCATGAGTAGACACAGACTAAAAGTAGATAAATAAATTAAGGTATTTTTTGCAAACTGCTGTTATTACCTTGGGCAGCTCAATGGTCTAGAGATGGTGATCACTGGATGGCTTGCATAGTTTCCTTTAGAGGGAGAAATATTCCTTCCACCGGATTGCAGATCCAACACTGGCTGTAAGAAAGCAAATTGAATAGAGAACTTTAGTGGGCTAGATACCATACTACCTAAATGCAAATGAAAAGCATATAGGATCAGTTTCAAAAATTCTATTTCCCAAGACAGTCCGCATCATTCTTGGTGTTATAACATAGATAGATGAACTAGCCAAGTATTGTTGCTAAAGAATATCCAGATATCTTTTCATGTCCAGAACTGTCTACAGTTCAATTCCCGATATTTTTATAGTAGTTTTTTGTAACTTCTACTGATTTGGATTTGATTTGATATCTCCAAGATTGGGAGCGGTACTGTCGTTTGATCAATTAATTCTCATGTCTTCGTATTTGTCCATGTCGTTCAAGTCAAGTAAACAAAAGCATGTGCTGTTTCGTGAAGCATTTTCGAGAGCTGTTTCTTTATGGGAAGTGTGATTCTATTATCTTAGCAAAGTCTCTTACGATATGTAGCTTCAGTGGAACTGCTAATTCGTGAACTGCGGCTATAACTCGTGAATATATTTGGTTGCTGTTATTAGGGGTCAGCAAGTGGTTAAATAAACCGGAAACTGGTACGAAAAATGTCCTACCAGCATTGGCTAGGGTATAAAATCACCAATCAGATTCTGCGGTTCATAACAAGAATCATAGGTTCCTAAAGACAGACAAGTGGAAGAAAGTGTCATATCTTTCATAGAAAGCATAACTTACACTTGAGCACTTCTCCATCTCTTGCTCTTTCTTAAGTTCCTTCCTCAATGTTTACTCTCTCACTCGGTGTTCTCTAGTTTGTTCAGAGAGTAATTGTACTTTACCAAGGGAATTCATTATTGTTTTGCCAAAGAAGGAAAATGAAGTAACTAGACTCCCTTTAGACAAATGAAAAATATAAAAATCTTTACCGGCGTCCGGCTTCCATCAAAGGAACGAGGATATGCTTCCTTGGTTACACCAACATGAGTAACTTTTGTTGTACTTTGGTTTTTCACAAAAGGGTGCTCTAGTAGTTGAGCAGCTGTAGGTCGTGTGGACGGTTCCCGCTGCAAGCACATCTTTATGAAATTTTTTGCATCATTCGAAAGGTGATCTGGAATTTCAGGAAAGTCTTTGCTGTTTCCAATTTTAAATATGGCGGCAACCTGTTCCACAAAGGACAGCAAAGACACTTAGATTTGAGGTCTCTAAAGCTGGCCATAAAAGAGATGATCGCGATAATCCATTTATCAAATATTCCAATATCTTACCCCTTCATACTGGCTCCAGGGTGGCTTTGAACTTGCCATTTCAAGAATTGTACATCCCAAACTCCAAATATCCACCGGAAGGCCATAGCCACTTGTATTCATCACCACCTAATATGAGAAATATCAGAGAAATGGAATAAATAATGTGTCTTCGCTAAAGATATTGGAGAATGTAAAGAGAGTAAGCAGAAAAAAGGGAAGGAGGCATACCTCAGGAGCCATCCAATAAGGACTCCCTTTGAAAGAGAGCACCGACGAACACGAAGTTATCTGCTCCAAGGTAATATAACTGTTAATGCATGGACAAATTGCTGGAAAAGAAACTGTCCTAAAGAATTCATGTAGTTTTCTTTTAGTAGCATCAAATTTTTTTAAAAAGAAAACTAAAAAATAAAAACGAAAATTTGTTTCTATATCAAGGGCTAAATTTGTTCATCCAAATAACTAAAATAGAATTCACAAACAAAAAAGTACCAAATGACAAATTTAGACTTTTTCCATGTTATTGGTAAGTAGAACCTACAACAACAGTCAATCAGATTCCCCTACTTGAGTGCAAATAAAATCAGGGGCAAAGTTTGGAATTAGTTTTCTGAAACCTTTAAGTTAAATGTGGTTATGAAATAGTTGCAATTACGCTGCTACTTACATGCTTTGCCATGCCAAAATCAGCAAGCTTTATTTCACCATTAGGATCGACTAGTATATTTGCTCCTTTTATGTCCCTGAAAAGAAACAACTACCATTTGAATCTAGCAACGTCCACAAAAATGAATAGCTGAGTCACCACTACTTGAATCAATAAAGACACACACACACACACCTGTGTACCGTATTCCTAGCGTGTAAAAAGGAAAGGCCAGAAAGGATCTGTCTTGTGTAGTTTTGTATAACTGGCTCTCTGAAAGCGCCATATTCCTGCAACAATTTATGTATAGAACCCCCGGAAACGTATTCCAAGTAAACTGATAGAGTTTCATCATCCTGAAGAATAATCAAAAAGAAGACAGTTATGAACTAAATGGGAAGATCATATTTCTGTTCCATAGCGCAACTAGGTTAGAGAAGAACAGATAAATATGATCAGCATATTTGCTTAGGTTGTGTAAATATCAGAACAACAATAACATAATTATGCGTCATACCAGTTCACTTCCATAGTATCGAACAATATTTGGATGTGTCAAGTTACTGAGTAAAATGATTTCCTATACATAAGATAAATTCAGTCAGGTATCAAATGCAAAATGGAGAAGGGAGATATTAAATGAAGAAAGATTAAAGTTTATCATGGACTTTGAAAGGAGAGGATATTCAAATTATGAACAGAAATATACTGAAAAAGTAAATAAAAGAGACCTAGTCACTTATCAAAAGCAAATTAATGATCAAATAAAATAAAAGAGACCTGGTTCAATTGCTTAAGACACTCTTTCGATGTCTGATCATCTGAAACCACCCTGACTTCTTTAATTGCGCACATTTGTCCATTCTCCCTGTTCATACCGAAAACCACCAGTTAGTGCAGAACTAGCCACGCGACCTTATATAACACCATTTCAAAATGAGCATAAGATGACCTATACTAAAGTCTAAAGCCATATGATAAAAAAAAATTAAAAAGAAAAATTGGAAGGCCGACAACCTGTTGAAACCAAGATAGACATGCCCAAAGGTGCCTCTTCCCAGGAGTCTGCCTTTCTTCCATTTTGACATATTAACGGTTGAGCCTTCGGCAACACCACACGTTCTTGGGTTTGGCAAAGCAGAAGGGCTGGGTGGAGAACCAGGTGGAAGGGGCAGCTGATGACATTCACTCCTCACATCATTATCCAATTTGCCCGTTGGAGAGTCCAGATTCATACTCGAAAACCGAGGATGTAAAGGTGATGATGTGGTAGTTGTCCCTCTCGAACGAACTGGGCTTCGTGACAGTGGGCTCAACCTATTTTCGCCATTTCCTCTGGCAAAAAACAGAAGTGTGCCCACGGTTAGACAAGTACAACGGACCGATATAATTGAAAAGAACTACTTGTAACTTTCTTCATGCATCTCGTCTATTCCTTAATTAAAAAGACAAGGTAACACGATGTACCGTGCAATTATACCATGTATAAAGATTTTGCTCTGACTTTCCTAATTAAGCCTCCTGAAAAATCAGTAAGTGAACTACAGCACACAGAAACATATAAGAGCAATCGCTAATTCAAGAGATTAATATAAATCTCAGGTTTAGCATTTGGGGTAAACTAAAAAGTGAGAAAAGAACAAAACAAAAAAGAGGATAGGTCATTGGCAGACTCGTTAACAAGACGTTTGATTCAATATGCAAAATCCACCAATGATCCACCTGGAGAACCAAATATACAAAGATATAAACAAATTGAAAGCATGTATTAAAGCTCCTCTGATTGATAAAAAAAGAAGTTGCGATTTTTAACACATCAAAGCACCCTTTTCCAGGTATAATACAACAACTATGCCTTAGTCCCAAACAAAGTTGGGGTTGGCGATATGAATCCCCACTTCTTTTTATAAACTCAACTCATATCATCATCTTGCCAAAACAAAATAATAGTAGTAGTGAAAATAAGTTAAATATATATAGAAATAATAGCTATTGTGCCTTTTTACAGGTACAATAGCCGCAACAATATAATCTCTCTAGCTAATCAATATAACATTCAATTTGCTAAAAAAAATCCATATCCAATCAACAAAAGATCCAATTTTGATAACTACCCAAAAATCAAAAAGTCAATCTAAAGTCAACCCAACAAACTTTAACCATAACAAGGACTCATCATCTCAAAACAAACAAAAACACCAAAACTACAAAGAAAGTAACTTCTGATCAAGAAATCAAAGTAAATACAAACCTGAATAAAGTATCAAATTGGGCTTGATCAGTAGTATTAACAGGCCCATCAGATGATCCAGAAGAGCTAGTACTAGAAACTGAAACTGACCCACATCCCAAAACAACCCCTTGATCATTTCCAACTGAAGGTCTAGGTAAAGGATGAGCTTTATCTAAAGATGAACCTGAATCAAACCCAGAAAATCCAGAACCAGAAAATCCAGAACCAGAAAACCCAGAACCAGAACCACCAAAGTTTAAGTCTTTACTGTTTCTAGGTGAATTTCTACATAGTACCTCATCAAAACTCCTTGGTTTAACATATTTATCCCTTTCTTTTTCTTTAGACTGTGTTTCTTTATTTTTGGTGGATTTTTTTCCCCACCAAGCAGGCATTTTTTTTGTTTGTTCTGAGCTAATCAACAGAGTCAAGAAAGAGTGAAATCTTGTAGTGTATTTCTTGGTATGCTGCTATAGTAAAGAGAAACAGAGAGATAGTGAATTAATTTGGATTTTCAAGATTTATTTTTTATGTGAATGTGAAAGGGCTGGGGGGATGTATTGTTGTTGTAGCTGACGAAGAAAACTTTGAGAAGGAAATAGGAAGGTAGATAGATAGAGAATAGAGGAAGTGGAGAGGGGCCTGCCAAGTTGGTTGTAGTAACGTGTTTTGCGTTTTTGCACCCTATTGTTTGTTGTATTTCCCATTTTTGTACTAATTCTCTTTGTTCTTTACTGAGTATGATTTTGTTTGCCTGCTTACCAAGTCTATAGATGGTAGAACTAGTATTTTGCTCGAGGATGAGATAAAACTAGAGTTTTGTAATTTTTGCGTACATTATGTAATTTTTGCATCCTCATACCCCACAATGTGAGATAATACTGGTTATGTTATTGTTGTTGTTGTTTATATAACAAGAATTTTTCAGTTCTGACATACAATATAATTTTTAACTTTTAAGTAATATTCGTATGATATAAAAGATAATATTTAATATATAACAGCAAATTAGGAACATTTTGGTTTTTTATCTTTAATATGGACCTATTTGTTAAGTGAGGAAGTTATTCTTTATAATATTTCTTAGTTGAAAATTTTGCAGTTGTATTTTGATTTATGGTAGGTTATTTTTCAAAATTCAGAAAATTAACTTGCTCATGTATTCTATCAAGATCATACTAATCAACGACTGATTTGCTTTTTTCTATTACAAGTACTTTGAGATACTGCAAATTAATTTTATTCTGTATATGAAATCGTATATGAAATCAAAAAATAATCAATTATGTTTGAATCATGCAAGAAATCCAAACACATGTGTAGTCTCATACGTGGTAATTTAGCCAAATAATAGCGTGATTAAATCTAACGAATAAATTGTTTACCAATAAAGTAGATACTACTATCATGTAATCTATCAATTATTGAGCAAAATAAAAGATAAAAGTATAAAATACTATAATCGCGTGCATGATCAACGTACTACTACGATATTTGTGATAATCGTATCAATTCTTCTTTGCTGCTACTAATTACAATCATCTTTATAATGAATGTTACTCAATCATTCTAGCCATATATAATTTTAATTTACATGGTCAGCCAAAGAGAGATGAACTCATTTCTACGATTGAACTACTTTATACCTCTCAAATGATCACATCATATAAGAAAACAGGGACTAGGAACCACCTAGGGGTGTGATATGATGGTTAATATTGCTCTATCCTTGATTATAGATTTCGAGTTTAAGACATGTAAACGAAAAAAAGTATTTTTTTTTTCTTGGTAAACTTACTTGACATAAATTTAAATTAGTTGGATCAAAGTGCTTCAAAATTAAACTATTTAGATGCAAAGTGAAAGATGATGCTAAATTAGGGAGCAAAATAGAAAGAGAAGAGGGTAGGCACGTGTGGTCCCAAGTCCAATAGAAAAGCAAAGCTGTTACAGTGAGGAACAGCTCAGGAATTTGGGGACGGCAGTCAGTGGTTGGATTAAACCGAGTGGATGACGTGGCTTCCTTTCTTTTTTTCTTTAAATTTTGATTTATTTTGTGTTTTAATGACGGCTTTCTGGAAATACACTTGACTCATCACTGATGACTCAATGTCTCATATGTGGGTGCGTTTGATAGGAGAGAAATATATTTTTTTCAAAGTGAAACGAAATGGTTCTCCTATATTTCTTGAAGAAAGTATTTATGGCATTATTATTTTGTTATGTATAAGTTATATATGAAAATATTTATTGCATTATTATTTTGTTATGCATAAAGTTATATATATTGTAGACAATAAATTACGTCGAGAAAATAAAATCGGGACCGAAAATATTGCAACAATCGTAGTATTTTATTTCAAACAATATAAGTGTACAATCTCTATGAATCCTCTTATTCTACTTTTCAACAGTAAATAAAAGAGCCTTCAAGCTTAACCTTGAATTTTATTTTATTTTAATCCAAGTGCGAGCTTAACCTTGAATGTATTTTATTTTAACCCAAGTGTTTGTAGCCTGACCTTGATCTTGACGTATTTTTAATCCAAGGGCTTGCAGCTTGTTCTTGAATCTTTTCTTTCTGAGTTATGAAGACTCCTATTTATAGCTGTGGGAGGGAAGAGTTGTGATGAAAACAAACTCTTTCCGACCAATCAGATTGAAGAGTGACAAGGCCATATTTGATTGGCCGGAACATGTCACTTGCACATCTGGCACATTTCATTGACCTTTCAATTTGACTTGGCATGCCTTGTCATTTTGGCACGTGGCATGTTCCTATTGACTCTTCCGTTTGACTTGGCGTGCCACGTCATTTGGCACGTGGTACCCAAACTAGGCCTCTAGGAAGATGGCATCTTGGGCTTAACAAACTGGGCTCATCATCTGTAGCCCAACTAATGGGCTAGCCAAATGGTTTAAAACTTATTTATTTAATCCATATATATTTGGACTTATATAATTGATCTAATTATATTAGTCCATGATACTTAGCTGGACTAACATATTTAATATATAGTAAATTGTTTTACTGAATTTAATCCAATAAATTTTGTATGCCTACAAATGTCCTCTACTTCAAGACTAGTCAAATTTCTACATTTTTGAAAGACCGGGCTTGAAGTATGAATTTATTTTGACATACTTCCTCTGAATGATAGCGTAAAAGACATTAATCCTTGAAAAATCGAACTATTTTGGAGATTATGCACTCATTGTCATGTAGTTCGATGAACATTGTTTCTGAAATGTCATTTTACTTCATGAACAAATTTATTCCTAAAAGAACAAATGACCCATTTATAACTTTGAAGTTTATGTCATATTCTTTATGGAATCCTTACTTTGTAACTGAAATTTTGTAAATCGTGCCAATTCCATGTGGCTGATATATATATATATATATATATATAACTTAAGTAAACATGGAACTTTGATAGCACTTGATCACATCCTAATTCCTTATGAATAGTCACTGTCGCGCCCCTTTTTCTCACGAAATCGAGTTTCGACACGTGACAACTCTTTTAAGGAAGGTGTTAAAAAGGAGAGTCACCACCTAACAATTTTTAAGGTGCGTTAGGGCACCTATTTGCAAATAACTCTAGTTTAACTGGTTTACATTACAAAAAATCGGGTAAGAGCTCAAATTACCTCAAAGAGAAGGTGTTAGACACTCTTCGAGATCCATAACTGTGGGTGTCACGACCCAAGTTCGCCCTCCGTGAATAGTCATGACGGCACCTAGTCTTTATGACTAGGTAAGCCTAGCAAATGCGAAAAAGAAATAATTTCGGAAAAGAAACTAATAAAAACCGAGATAACAAACACTACAACATTTTAGGCCTATAGCCACACTTATTTAGCCAACACTCAAAAAGTATTGCCAAAAGTATCTATAGGAACACTTTTTAGGTGTGACCTTTGAGTAGAGTCTTTGGCCACGGGTTTTAAGGTAATACTTATAAAGTGTTTCATTTAATTGTAAAGATAACATTTTCTAAGTGTTGCCTAAATAAAAAAAATTTGGCCACGCTTTTTAATTATATTGCAATGTTTTTGGACAGTTGCTATATTGTCGTACTAAATGCAACCCTTTACGAGCGTATCCAAGAAATTCCTTATAAAAAATATTTTCCAAAAAATTTCCCACCAAAAGTACACTTAATATTCCGCCAATTCTCATAAGTCCAAGATAACCCTATAGGAATAAGGAGCAAAACAGTTTTCACGCCACGGCTGCTCCAATGCCCTCAATCGCTGCTTCTATTTCTTCGTTGCTTCATCCTTGGTTGGCTCTTCTATTTCTTTTAGAATTGTAAGTTCTCAGGCTTTTAGATCTATTTATATTATGGCCATCTCTGTTTCCTTCAATTTTCTAATCCCAAGAAAGAAAGAACTGGAACAAGCCTCTACAAAGTTAATTTAGATAAAACCCATCTCATGAAAAAGTCTCTAATGGGTACTCTTTACTTTCCCAATTTATGATCTTGCCTTTTGGCGATCTCTATCTTTTTAGGTAGTTAATATTTTTGTTGTAAAAAGTTATATTTCTTGATAGACTATTTAAAGTTCACTTTGTAAATAATAACGGTGGAAAAGAAAGTATAGATTCCTGTAGCATGATGAATAGCAAACGAAGATAATGTAGTTAGGTAAGTATCACATTCATTGAATAGCTAGAAACTAAATTATTCCAGATTTTTGAATCCACTTTTTGCCTCATATTGTGAATTTGGGTATTTTCAATTTCTAAATTTTTATATTGTTCACCTTTCATTTTTTTGCAAATTTCAGTGTAGTTATATAGTGATTGTTTATTTGAAGTTTATCAGGTTTTTAACACTTTATTTTGAAGTTTATCAGGTTTT